TTGAACTTGATGTCCTCTGTGACTAGGGTCCCAAGCCCACAGGTTCAACTACTTGGTCCCTCTGGGTAGCTGGCTGTGACCAAGCAGTGACTACAACCTTGCCCCTTGTCAGCCCCATTATACACCTGGAAATTCAGATCATACATGTAAAGTTATTGGACCACTTTCTGCCAACCCTGTATCTGTTCTTGGGTGCGCTCTCCACTTCATATACATACCTAATATTTCAGCCTGTGCACCCATCTAATCACCCACATACCCGTGTTTGCCTTCACTGACCACGCCATACTATATGCGCAAAAGGGTTCATCTTTGTTGTCTGTACTTCCCTCTTTCTCTTCCTCAATGCCACTATATTAATCACTCACATTTGGTACATTGCCCTTTTCTTCACCCAAATCAAAACTTATCTCTATCTATTTAACAGTATTCCCTACCCTACCCTCCCACCCCTGGTAACCAGCAAAGAAAATGGTCTTCCACAGATAAACGTTTCCTTGATTATTACAATGACGGACTAATACCACATTTGTCCTTTTGTGATTGACTTATTTCACTCAGCATAGTGTCCTCCAGGTTCATCCATGTTATGTGGTGTTTTGCAGATTCTACATTATTCTTTAGGGTTGCATAGTATTCCATTGTGTGTATGTACCATAGTTTGGATATCCATTCCTCAGTTGATGGACGCCTAGGTTTTTTTTCTTTTAATTTTTATTGTACTTTGGGTGCAAATTTATATAGCAAACTTGTTTTACATTCAACAGTTCATGCACATCTGATTTCACGGCTCTGATTACCGACCCCAACCGTAAAAAACTCTCCTCCCCTCTCCCCCCTGTGACCACCCCCTCCCTATGCCCTTCTCATTCATGAATTCCTGTCTGCCCAGCTTTCCCTCTGTGTGAGTGCTACTACCCCTCTGGTGTCTCATGGTTCATTGATCCAAGGGGTGCATCTCCCTAGAGTAGGTGGGTGCATCAGCCTAGGTTAAGTGTTCTGTATGTAGGTCTTTCTGCTGTTGGGCTGAGAGCTAATCCATGTAAGTGAGTCCATTTCTAGGCCCGAAGGGTAACCCAGGGCCATAGTCTCAGGGGTTCCATCAGTCTCTCTGTGACCAGCAATTCTGGTCATTTTTGTGTTTTTTAATTTTGTTCCACCTTTTTCCTCCCACTCTATCCAAGATCTCCAGATTTGATTGCTGCCTTTCCGAGCAGTTGGCATTGGTAGCCGGGCACCATCTAGTTCTTCTAGTCTCTGGTCATGGAGGCTGAGGTCCTCGTGGTCCATCTTATCTTTGGACTAATTGTTTCCAGATAACTTTGATCTTCTTCACTCTTCTTTGCTCCAGAAGAGTGGAGACCAATAGTTGCATCTTAGATGGCCACTCAAAAGCTCTTAAGAGCCACGTTGCTACTCACCAAATTAGGTTGTAGAACAAAATTTTTATGAACTATGGGTGCCAGTTGAGTATAATGTCCCCAAGACTATGGTGCTGAGCCCCCAGGCCTGGTGATTCTCACAAGATGTTTGCTTGTCTCTGAGAAGTTACTCCAACCCTGTCTTTTGTTGCTTCTGTAATGTATGTGGCTAATTTTGTAGCACAAGTGCATATGTAAGATTATCTTCAGCCAAATCTATCCTTGGTCTGGGGTGTATTCCTGTTCACCTACCCCCATCTGCTCTTCTCACCTGTCTATGCATTAATTCGTATCCTGGTGTTTAGTGCTAGTGATACTGCAATATTGTGCATGTAATGGTATTTGCCTCTGTTTTCTATATCTTTGTATACATTTCAGTGTCTTTTGTTTCCCTGATGTCATCATGCTGGTCACAGACTCTTTCCATACCATTCCTCCCCTTACCCAAATTGACATGTGACCCCCAAATAGTCTGAGATTTTCCCTCCCATTCCCAGTAACCAAGAAAGTGAGTTTCCTTCCCTGAATAAATTTCCCTTTTTACAGCAGTGAGTTCATACAATATTTGTTCTTCTGTG